TTTTTTTTTTTTTTTTTTTTTGTTGTTGTTGTTGTAGGAGACTGCATTTTATTTCATACAAAAGCAAAAGGAGGCCGGCAATGCCTCCACATCTCAACCCGGCCCAGAAATCGAACACTCTTGCTGGAACCGGGTCCAGCATCCCATTCGAAATTTCGAAATGCGACGACTCGAACAAGGATCGTCATTGACAACCGTGACTGAAAAACAAACAAACACTCGCGCTCGTTGATTTTGCTACCACTGCCTACCACTGCCTTTAGTGTGTTTTTTTTTTTTTTTTTTTTTTTTTCGTTGTTAGTTGTGCCATGCGGCGGAAGTTGGACATAAGGCCTAGTACGGTTTCATGTTCTTTTTCACCCCCCTATGGGGGTTCTTTTCACCTTCTCGCTCACGGTACTTTTTTTCTTTTTTTCTTTTTGGCTATCGGTGGTTACCCAGGACTCAATTCTCTTTTTTTTTTAAGTTTTTTACATGATGATTTCATTGAATCGCTAAGTCTATTTAGTATTTATTAATTTTATTTGCTGTTAACTTAATTCATTCTGATTTAACTTTGTAAGCTCTTGACTTGAGGAAGTGCCACCAGAGCTCACACTGCATACAACGGTGTTATTGGTCCAGATACGTTGTAGATGATACCTGTGTTGTGGGTGCCCATCATCAATGGTTGCAGAATTAGGATTCCTCGCTTGACAGGCCGTCGAGACGAGTCTGGGCTGATGCCCTTTAAACTGCACTGCCCGAGTGGGTGGGTAATACAATTTGTCCGATCTCCGGAAGCTAATGCTCGAAAGGTGATCGTGCCGTCTTTTTTTTCTTTTCTTTTCTTTAAACAACAACAATGAAGAATGTGGCAGCTCTCTCTTCAGTTCAAACGTTCTCCTGAAATCCACAACGGCCAAAACAGACACTTGAGCACACCGAGTCCAGATCAGAAATTTGAAATTTGAACTTTGAATGATCTTGGTCACTTGGCAGTCGTTGACTCCTGTTTTCAAAGTCAAAGTCAAAGTCTCGCCATGGTACAAAACTGAAGGTGGTAGCAAAACGAACGAGCCTAGCTCAGTTGGTACGCACCTATGATCTCTCTCTCTCTCTCTCTCTCTCTCTCTCTCTCTCTCTCTCTCTCTCTCTCTCTCTCTCTCTCTCT